AAATAACTTTGGAGATACGATATTTTAGAATGGCACTTAGGTTTAGGAGAGGTAAATAATCACGAAGTGGCCTATTCCCATAGGATCACTACGTTCTCACTAACTTATCCCAAACGAATAATTTTCTTCGGAGAATGGAAAATTGCCAACATTTTATAGATGCGTGCATAAATATATTATACAAACATATTTGTACAACAGCGAAAGAAACAAAAGTGAAGAGAGAGAGAGAGAGAGAGAGGGGAAGAGGAAGAGAAAGAAAGAGAACACATGAAGGGAAAATATTTTACGATGTTATAGGTGGAAAACCACGATTTTCAATCTTTCTAGCTAACATAGAGATAGTATTCTTCATTGAGATTGTTCGTTCAAATTCCTGATCGTTTCGAAAACTTGAACAATAAATATCGATCTTTCATCACTTTCTTTTTCATCATTTTTGTTACTTCGCTTTTTCGAAAGTCCAACGTTAACTTTGATTTACGTCAAAGTATTCTTTTCTTTGCTCCATGCTTCGTTCTAACTTATTTATATAAACGAAAAACCAATTAACTGGAAATTGAAAGCGCATTAACAGTCAAGAAGAGAAAAAAGTGAGAGTGAAAGAGAGAAAAAAAGAGAGAGAGAGAGAGAGAGAGAGAGAGGGTGAGCGATGAAAGAAAGGAAGGATAATAAAAACTTCGATCATGTCGTTTTGTAGTTTCACACCATCATATTTTATTGTACCTTTACTCGCGTAATGCAGTTGTCTAGCTAAAGTAGATCGACACTCGTCACAAATTAATAACGCATTTTAATACGACCATCGAAAAAAATTAATAATCTCATTGCTAGATTTAACTCTAACACGGTTTCTTTTATTTTATTTGTTTGATAAAAATAAGAAAGACAAAGATATCTTTAAATATAAGTTATTATCATGGCTCGCAAAAGTTTCGATACGGATTCACATTCGAATAAGCTTGGATAAGCCAAGACAACTTTTAATGTGTTCTATATGAAGCGATACGATATCGCAGTTTACTCCCTCTATCGTTATTAGCCTCGGGATGCGCTCGCTACGTGGCTTTATAGTGGACGTTGACGACAATGTCCAACAATATTGCAAGTCCTCTCTCTCTCTCTCTCTCTCTCTCTCTCTCTCTCTCTCTCTCTGTCTGTCTTTCTCGCTTTTTCTCATTTAGAAATTTTACAACCATAGCTACACTCCTGTTAGCATCTGATGATAATATTTTTCTTTTCCCTGCCACTCTTCTTTCTCAAATCATCAGAACGTAACGTCGGGCAAAGTTATCGAGATAAAGACATTATTGGAAAGAAAATGATGAAGAAAAAGAAGTCTTAAAGTTCCATATACATTCCGTTTAGAAATCTTTTATGGAATTTTTCATGAAAGAAAATAAAATGAAAATATCTATGAGATACTTGATATTTGAAGATTTTAAAGGCATTTTTATTCGTCATAAATAACCCAGAATTGAAAGGATTAGAACGAAAGAGAATAAAAGACGAATAGCAAGAATAAGAGATATGTCGGACGAGAAATTAGGAAGGACGCTATCATATATCGGCTAATAGACAAATGATAAAATGTTTGACATAGATCCCAGGAAGATCCTTAAAGTAATTATATTTGTACCGAATGTTTTTCAAAGCTAGCAATATTTTTATTTCTTAAAAAAGAAAAAAAGAAAAAAAATAATTTTCGTATAATCTAATAAAAACTGTTAGATCTTGCTTTGGTGATCGTTAACGAATTTAAAATTATTTATTACAAACTTATAACGAGCTACAAATCGTCAAAATCATAAATTATAGAGTTAAACTTCATAATCTCAAGATTCTTCATTTCTCAAGATACATTATACATATGTGAATCAAAGATGACGGAACGTCATCCATAGTAATGATATTGGTAACTCAATTTGAATCGTCCGAATGAATAAATATATTCTATATTTGACAGTATATCTTAATTTATAAGAAATTTGGTTGGTTTTGTTAAAAAGGATAAATTAAAAAGTAATAGCTGGATTTTAAACGAAAGAAACTTTAAGAACCTATTCGATATTTATAAGCAAGGATTATTAGATAATTGGTTTTGCTTTCGAAGGCATCGTAAAATAAAATGAATAAATAAAATAAAATGAATATGAACGAGCAAATAACATTAATTAATGATTGAAATGAAATATAACGACATTTCAAACGATGAGAAATATTTTGCCTTGTCTGGTCTAATGTGGATTGACTCATTTATCAATATAATGATGAAGTTACATAGGCACTGCCACTATACTCTACTTCACCTCTGATTTGTAGTGCTATTCAACGTTCATTGAATTATTCTAAGGACCTTGGTTTCCCATGTACTTGTATACATGATGTATACGTACACATGAAATCCATCGCATGTCAGGATACAATAACGATACTACCTAATATAATAGCATAAAGTACAACTAACATGATTAAAACTGATGCTAATATAATTAAATTATAATTATTCTATTTTGTGAATGACGTAGAAGAAAGGAAAATTTCGAGTTAACGATATCCCGGTGTTCCATATTGACATACAAATTTAAAACGAGTGTTACAAGTTTCACTTGTAATACTCTGAATTCTAATCAATGGGAGTTGAAAATTCTGTCTGGTCGATGTTATACGTTGGGCAAAGCTTTCTATGTCCGAGACAGGATCAATATTACATGTACGTTGGGAAACCAACGAAGGAAAGATAGAAAGAAGGGAAAAAAGGAAAGAAAAGGAAAGGAAAGGAAAGGAAAGGAAAGGAGAGAAGGAGAGCTGGCCAACCAACAGGTGAAGCAATGTCGAGTAAGAGAGACTGGGGGCACGAGGCCAAGGGAAGAATATAAAATTACCCTCAACCGTTAGATAGAAGTTTACGTCTGACCCAGCTTACCAAGGGGTGGATCTCTTAATGGACATTCTACCTTGGATTTCTCATGGCCTTGCTACACAAGTCTTCCACTTCCGGAATTAACGCACGCCAACAGTACTCATTGTATTTAAAGGAAACCACGCTAATCGCATTTGGAATTTATCAGAGAATCGATGAATCTATATAATACATAGATAGAATCTCTTCAGTATCTTGATTTCTCTATAATTGTTTATTTTATACAGACGTAGATATCACCTAAAATACAATAGTTCTAATGTTTAGTTCTCCTCGTCGTACATAATTTTAATAATTTTAACAGAGAGTATCTATATATATTGTATTCATGACGATTCACATTGTTTTCCAAATTTTTATATTTAAATCTACCATCGAAGGATTAAGTAAATATAATTTTAATATAATATTCGACGATCATATTGTTATGTCGCATTTAGCGAAAAAATGGACAAATTTTAGAAGCTATCAAACGCTATTGTTTCCGTTACTTGTTCAGCGAACGTGCACGTCGTTATTTAAATAAGAATCCTTATATGTACAGTTATATTATTATTCTTTATAATATATTTTGTATACATCTTAATAATTTTATCGTATGTAACCAAGGCATAGGCATTATTTAATATATTATTAGTTATCGCTTTCGTAATGATACAAAATTATGTATGATGTTTACGTATAATGTATAAACGAAACTTTTCCCTAATATCCAATTAGATCGTAAAGCTCTTTCGAAAAATTATTTGATTCGTGCAGACGCACGTTCAGCATTGTATTAATTTAAATGAGAACGACACTTTTTGATAAAAGAAATCGTTTATATTAAATTAAAATCATATTTGTTAAACCAAAAACGTCAACAAGGTAATTCAAGTAATTAGACGAGTAAGTAAATAATTCAAATTCAAGTAAATAATTATTATTTACTTGATCGAAGGATGGAAGTTTCAGAATAAAACAAATTGCACGATATTTTAAGTCGAATAGAAAATTTTGAAAAAAAAAAAAAAATTGGAGGATTCATATCGTGAATTTAGTTTTTATTATATTTCAGCCGAAGTTAGGGTCCGTGTGTACTTTTAAATTTGCATGTCTGTATCACCATGAATATGATCTCGTAATTACCATCATGATCAAATTTTGAACATTACTATCGCTCCACCGTACATGTATAACGTGTGCCGTAACATTCTCATATGAACCTATATGAACGACACACAGTAATTTATGCTTGTCCTGTTATCTCGCGTACAATAGTGATTGTAAAATAGTTAAGATATTCCGAATCTGTAATTACAGAATTCAGGGAAAACGAACTGAAAGGACCAAACAGTTTATTACAATTTCTGAATCATTTTTCAATGAACGTGCATTAATACGAAGTTAAAGCTGCTTTAATTTCTATTCAAAGCTTCAATAAAATTTTCAAACTTTTCATTTTCACACAATTTTCGAGATTTTAGATATTTACAGACACAAAACAGAATTTAATCATTGCCTAATAATATTCTTTAAGATAAAAAATTATTATTGTCAATGGACTGGGTAAGGGAGTAGACTGAAAAGTCCTTAGATCGTTCGTGCAGTTTAAAAAGCCAGCAATTTCCGGTTAAAAGGCATTACGTTCTTTTTTTCTTTTTCCAATAGAAAATTTGAATCTCAAATCTTCTTACTTACACCCGACGTTACGTAAACACCAATGGTAGTAGAAATGAGAACATTTTGCTTGACTCAAGTTGTTTTCTCTTGGTGTAAAAGCTTCACTTCCCATAATCTCTCCTCTTCCCGCTTCTTGCGCATTTACGATTCTTGTCGATCCTCCTTAAAACTTATCTACTTATTATGCTTGTCGTGCTTCCAAAAAGAAGCGAAAGCTTTCCTATTCTCTTGATCATACGATATTCATATCAGGTTATATTTACCTCGAGATCGTTTTTTCTTTTATTTTTCTTAATCATTTAAGTATAAAATAAAAAAAAAAAAATGTAAAAACATCGAAGTAAATTTCGGAAATTTGTTTATATTTCGACTATAACTTGTTAATATAGTATAAAAAATGGTTCGACTATGTTATTTCATATAATAAATCAAAAAGAATGAGATTACTCTCGATTATTATAAAAAGATTTGAAAAAAATACCCCTCCTCGAAAGAAACGATTCATTTTTAGGGATATACATGAGAAATGCATTAAAACTTTTGGTTACATTGAGTAAAGCTGTATGATCTTTGTCAATGCCGTCGTCGTTTTACGGCGGCTCTCTACGAGCATCGAATTTACCGAGTTTGGCATTACAAGCGCGTTCTTCTATGCCAGCAATACACGCACGCACGCACACACACACACACACACACACACACACACACACACACAGAGAAAGAGAGAGAGATAGAGAGAGAGAAAGAGAAGCGAATGCACGACGCAGTAGTATTGTAGCTTTTCGAGAGCAGCGTCATGTTAACGTCAGCAAAGCGTATTGGATGAGTTCGCTGTCATTACATCCGTTCGCTATAGGGCAATCCACGTGAAGAGTACATTCGGATCTCCTGGTGCAAACAAAAATGCGAAACTCATATGAGTGGAGGAGGGAGAAAATTCGAAGCTTTCTGGCTTTGAATATTCCTGCGAAAAAGATGAGCTGACTGAAAAAAAATTCGTAATCACTCAAATGTACATACGTTTCTCGTACATCCATCTTTTCCCTTCCCATTGCATCCTCTTTTCTTTTGCCTATTTCTATCTCACTTTGTAGCAATCTATCAGATGCTTGCAAATATATTCGTCGAATTATTATATGTATTTATTTAAAATTAACAGTAGAAAAAATTATATCTTAATCAAAATATCTGCTATTACTTTCTATGGTCTTCTACCACTTCTTAAGTAATTGTCTAATCTCATTTCTAAAAAATAGTACATCTTTTGAAGTTACGTCTATTTTCGGACTTTCAAATCGGACAGCAAACTGTGTATCAGACAAGATTGAAATTATTTCTGAATAAATGAAAATCAGATGGGGTAATGAGAAAGCTAAATGCATATTGTTTTTTGCTAGCTGCAATAGCAATACGAGATTCGGCATTATCGTAAAGTAAGATAGTCTTTTTAATCTTGCGTCAATTTGTGACTATTTGTGGCCGCTTTTTTATCAATCTACCGTGTACCTCAAATATTGACTAATCGACTATGACCCGGTGGTAAAAGCTCATAATATATTATTACTTCCTGGAATTCTATCAAAAAATAATTTTGCTAGCATGAATGTTTCGTCGAATCTCTATCACGCTTCACGCTTCGAGATTTACTTATGATTTTTTACGTTTTGGATTGTCATAATAAACCCATTTTTTCATTTTGTAACAATTTGTTACAAAAAAAGAAGAAGAAGAAAAAAAAAAGAAGAAAAAAGAAAAAAAAAAGAAGCTTTTCCTTCTGTGCTTGGCAATTAAGAATAAACAAGTGTTTAATCGACTCGAAATAATCAAATCAATCAGTTGATATCGAATCACTTCCTTTTTGAAAGTTTAACCGCTGGAAAACAGTTGATGCATTAATTGCAAGCTCTTCCAATTATTGAACTAGATATTACCGAAAAGCTCTGGCAATTCATTATTCGCAAATTCTTTTGACTTTCCTGAACGTGATTTGTCATTAACGTTAATTTCGCCATTTCTAAATCTTTTAAAGCATCCCTCAGAAACATCGGTGAATACAATGTTCTCTCCATAGATTTCAGATTTAAATGGATAGTTAGATCCAGCTTGTTTCTGTAGCAATTTTCTTTTCGTTGAAATAGAAAAGCATACAATAACAGCGTAAAAGCATATTATCAGATCCCATTTATACCTATAATAAAAATAAGTACAACGAGTTAAGTAACGCTATTACTTAAGATGCCGTAGATAAATTTTAAAGTTGTAAGTACTTTCTTAAGTTTATAGAGCTCCGTAAAGGAAATGAAGAAAGACGAAAAATAAAATTACCAATACGCAATAATTTCCACTTATTTGCAATCCGATGTACTTTTACAAGGACCTAATTATTCCGGATTAGCATTTTTCCCTACGATATATGATAAATATCAGCTTGGTATTGGTATTTCGTCATTTTTATTCTCAGATCTCAGATATCAAACATTATATACTACGTAATTTAGGTACCAATTGTAACATTTCTGTAGTTATTGTACAGTATAAATATGTAATTGAGTGTTAATAGTTTACGAGAATTTCTAAACATCTTTATTACATTACATTACACTATAGTCGATATAAAATATTAACATATGTCACGCGTACGATGTACTTGAAAAATGAAATTGAATTGTGATAATACAAATCATATCTCAGTTCATAGATATAAGTAGACTGATATAGTGACCTATATAAATTCTTGGAATTTAAACGGATTCGAGCATCGATCGTTTACTCTTTATAATAAGAATTTGAAGAACCTTCTTAAGGTTGTTCATCGAATGAAATCTTCCCATTAGGGCGAAGAGAAAAAGAAGAGTTACGCTCTCTTAGTTGACATTAATTATTGCGCGATATTTCACCCAGCGAAAAAAAAGAAATCTCCCGAGCGAGTAATAGGAAGAAACGATTGAAAAGAAACGAGCTATAGAATTGAACGTGTAGAGAGAGGAGGGAGAGAGAGAGAGAGAGAGAGAGAGAGAGAGAGAGAGAGAGAGAGAGAGAGAGAGAGAGATAACTGGGAAGAAAAATTAAGACTTTGCCATTTTCTCAACGCTACATTTTTTCAACAATAATTAAACTTTCGTGTCATTGAGCTTTCTCATGGAACTAAAGGAGGATCGTGCATTTTAATTTACCTATATAAGCCCAGAGGCTTAACGAGCCATTCGTCTCGATGTTATGCCTGCTTTATATTTTTTAATTTTCTTTTTTCTTCGGACGAACCAAATTTAACATAATTAATTATAAGTATTCTCGTACAATTCCGTTTTTATTTAAACATATTGCTTGAATTGTCCTAAGAGATTATTATTTTATCATATTTTTACTTTTAAAAAGATACTGAAAACAAACAAATATCAACTGTCTCTTCGTTCTGGAAAGCTCGCTTTATAAGCCAAATAATAGTCGAAAAACGTTTAAGATTCCTCTCTCAATCTATTTTTTTGCGAATTTTAATGAATGATTAAATCGGCCATCACGCGTAAGGACACTTTTACTCTTCAAGTATAAATCTTGTGTAAAAGGTATTTTGAGTGTATTTTTTAAGTTCTATGAAAACAAAAATAAAGAAGAATGAAAAATAGGAAGAATAGAAAATAGGACTACGATCATTATTTAGATCGTGTTCTATAATTATGTAAGTTTAACGAAAATCTAGAGACTATATTTTTCAAATTCGTAACTCGAGACTCGCTAAGAACTTATGGTATCTTTCTTCCGCTTGAGATAAATGAAGTGTGTCAAGTTCGCCGTTACACTTTCCATAAGTTAAAAGCATGAAATTCAGGAATCGTGAATAAAACATTTATGTTAATATACGATCGATTTGTTCGTACGTTCGTACGAACTTTAAAGGATTTCAGATTGTCTATTGTATTTTTGTACAATTAGGATTTTGTACGATTACGCATTGGACGAAATCGCATCGACGATATTTCATAGAGGACCGAATGATACTGTTAACGTCACACATTTTCAATACTAATAATGAATAATGAATGACAGTCGTCTTTATAAACCAAATACGCAAATACGTACGTTCTAGGTTAAAGTTAAGGTTAAAAAAAATTACTGCAGTTTAAATGATTCAATTTATCGTTTCGCATTTCTATTCGTTATAATCTACGAATTCGAGCGACGTGTATGCTTATGTATGCATTATTATTAGCAAATTCTTTTATTAGACATAACTCTTCGTTATGTTCCGTTTCAAAGTAACAAATAATTAAATGCAATTGTAACAAATAAAAAAATAATTTCTTTATGGATAAAAGATAAGGGCGAATTCTTAAGGATTAAAATAGAATTACGATAACATATTATTTTAAAATATTAGTACAGATTTCTTACTCGTGTCTAATCGAGAGGGACTATTGCTTAATATTAAATGTTGAATATTTTATTTGGATCTAATATAACGTAACATTTAGGAAAACGCAGCACCTCTATACGTCAATCTCTTTGTCATTCTATGCAATTCTTTTTTTCATACTTTATGAGAAAGAAGAAAAAAGTCAAAAAAATGTAACTACGTTTTTTCAATTGCATAAACGATTAGAAAAGTGTACTTCATCTATCTGCATATTCAAGACACTATATATAAAGATTCTTCAATCGATATTGAAATATTCATGTTACCTGGTTTCATGACAGTCGACAAATTCTGTCTTGCCTGCCTGTTGCAAGCTAAAGAGGAACAGGTACTTCTAACCTTCGATTTCGTTTAAATATATAAAAGTGGGTCAATACATTTTTCCTATCGATGCATATCAATATCTACAGAACATGAAAAACTCCAAAAACGACAAATTCGTATAGCATTGTAGTTATTGATCCGCAAACGTTAACGAATCTTTTAAAGGGGTTCATTCATTCGCAACGGACAATACGAATTTCGTGTGTTAAATTTTTCTGTAAAAAGTTTTACACTCAATCCGTGACAAAAGTTTCATTCGGATAAAATTGGATTCCTGTAAATCTTTGTCGCAAGTGTCGTTAAACTTCGTTTATCATTGGTATATATTGGTTTCTATTAGAACGTTTTTATTTCAGTCACAATCGATCGTTCACACTTTATCCGCTTATATATAAATACATATGCATATGCATATGCATATGCATATGCATAGTATGTATTAAAAATAAAAGTATTAATTAAAAGTCAATTAACAAAACGTCAGAATCGAGTTCTCCAGAATCCAGTATGATTGGAATTTAGACGTTATTCAATTAAACAGAATGCTCCTTCCTTCCTTTAGGTTATACAATTTATTGAGTGTCACCGACGTTCAAACAACGCTAACGGTGAGCTATTGTTACAACGGAGAAAACGGATCGATTCGATGGCGGAACTTGCGCCGAGTCTACATCGAAATAGTCGCGTTAGTAATTGGTTATTCATAGAGCGAGGTCGTTTCTAATTTTCCTACAAAACGAAAAATAGTAAATGTAGTTTCATTAAACAAAAAAAGAAAAAACAAAAAAAAAAAAAAAAAACAAAAAACAAAAAAAATAAGAAAAAACTATAATCGACTGGGCGATATTACGACATTTCGAAAATCCCAAACGAATTCGATATATTCAAATACGATAGGTATTATTGCCAACTACTTTCGACGAGTTTTTTAAATATTCCAAAAATAGTAGACTTGTATTACGATTACATTTCTATCTCACCAACAAATTGAATATAGTCTAAAAGCAATCCATCAAATTCAAATGAATACGGGCAAAATTTGCGAATAATCTGAAATTTAAACCGATTAAAATCTTAATTCTTTCACCTATGATTTAATAAAGAAATTTATATAATAATTCAAATATTTTTTTCTGCATGATTACCTCGAAGAAAATATATGTATATCGACATACTGATTACAATAGAAAATGTGTCAGAGGATGTATTAGGAACGCTTGTAAAAGTGATTGACATGGATATTATACTGCGTACTAATCAATCTTTTATTAAGTGTATTCGAGAGGTGTATCGAAAATAAGAGGCTATCATTTTGAATCATTTCTTAGAAAATAATACTTTTTTTAAAAATGACGTTCCTCGGGAACGTCAATCAAATCCAAAAGAAATAATGCTGTTATATTTGACTCCCAAAAACGAACAATCTTCGTTTTAAACTTTCTTTTTCTTCGTATTCACATTATTTTTTCTTTTTTCTTTTTTCTTTTTTTGGAGTCACTCTCGTTTATTTATTACTCTTATTATCATAGAAATTATTCCTTGAAAAGAGATCGTTATATTTATATGCTTTCATAAATTATTGTCTGTAAATATGTTATTAAGAGATAACTTATATCGTATCTATGTATAAATTTCAAGGTGACTTTGGATTTATAAAACTTTTATTATCTTTCTTTTTTTTTTTCAGAAGAAGTTTTAGCGTACTTAAGCGTAGTTTAAAAGTTCCTTTGATAGTATCTCTGTTGGTCCATCTCAATGACGAATTTGATTGGCGATTGCAAATGTCCTTACTCTTTTTTTAAATATTCTTTGAAAGGAATTCTATGTAATATTATTGTAATATCAGGGATGTGATTATCGTATACATATATTCGATATGAGTCAGCGTCGTTTATGGAATATACGAACTAAGATGGGTCGATAGAGGAACGTCTTTGACCTTTGAAAGACTCTCTCTCTCTCTCTCTCTCCCGTTTCTTATAAAACTATGTATATGTATTATTTTTCTTCTATATTTCTAAAGAGATTATTCTCTGTATTAATTATTCATTGTTTCGGTCGATAAAATATGAGAAATATCGACGATAAAGAATCTCTCGAATAAAGAAGAAAAAAATGAAAAAAATAAAAAAGAAATGAGATTGCGTATCGAGGATGATTAATGACTTAGTTTAGTAAAGCCGCCAAAATCGATTAAATATATACGATAACGAATAGCAGCTGAAAGAAAGGAGGGACAAAAAAAGAAAAGGGTTCAAAGCGGTCACGAATTGCGATGAGATAAAGCTCACCAATCGTCCAGCTACGATACCCTCGATTATCTTCCGGCTACCACGAGTTGCTTCGTATCTCTCTGACCGCCGTCAGTTGTGGTCCCATGATTCCACGAGGCGGAAACTGTCCATTAACGTGAGGCAATGATGATGATGCCAGAACGACGACGGACACCCAGGTCACCGACAACGCAGAAGCCAACGGAACCGATACCGAACGACAACTTATATTGAAGTGTCAGGCATACTCGTTTGCTCGTTAACGTCCACTATAATTAGTTCTTTCAATAAAGAGATATACGGAAAAGTGAACGAGAGGGGAGAGAGAGAGAGAGAGAGAGAGAGAGAGAGAGAGAGAGAGAAGAAAAAGAAGAAGGAGGAAGCGCTGAAACAGAAGGAAGGTTCAAAGGAAAGTAAAGAAACTTTCAGAATCGAAAAGTTATCTTCTAGTCCCAAGTGTCAATTAAAGGGAGAACCAAAGGACATCGGAAGAAGGAGGTGGACACGAAACTCAAAACGAAACTTTAGCTGTCTCTATTAAATTTAAATTAATTCGTAAAGAAGTAACGTCGATCGATTTCTCCAAAAGGCTAACGACGTCGGTCCGTTGCGAACAAGATTTCGTCGGAGATTCCTCGCTTTTCGGTGTGTTACTACCTCGTTACAACTATTTGTGGCTTTTCTTCACGGAGAAACTTACAGTTGAAGTTTTAAACGAAATTTTCATGTTATGACTCACGTATATCTTCGCTAGGGTGCGAATCTTCTGTGAAAGATGATCTTTTCTTAATAGGAAACGAAAATAACAATTTTGTTTGCTTTTATCAGTCTGAACTTTTTCCTTTGACTTCAGAATTAACTACAAAGGAAAGATTCAAGGAAAATCTTTAAGTTTCAATTTTAAATAACAAATAGATTTTTGAATTTGAAAGGAAAATTCTATCCCAGTGAATTACCCAATAAATCATTTTGCAACATATAAATTTGATTCTTAATAGAAAGTTGATTTGGTGTTCAATTTGTTTGCAATTACTTTTCAGTGCTGTGCCATTACGTAATATAGATATGTGTGTGCGTATATGCGATATCTAACGTCAAAGAAATTAATCGTTGGCTCATTGTGAAAGGAATTGAGTAATTCGCATAGTGTGACATCCAAAACAATGTCTGTCAATGACATGACTTGACCTTCTATCCATATTTCTATGTGGAAATATTTATTAATGATCGAAAGATATTCTTGCATTTCCCATGGATCGGTATGTAATCTCCCATTTTCAATATTATTTCAAAAATCATTCTAAAAAGCTATTGCTATCTATTTTCTCTCTCTCTCTCTCTCTCTCTCTCTCACTCTCTCGCGACCAAATTCTGATCCGTCCTAGTTTCTTTGCATTAATTAACTCGTATCTTGATCCGTTTTCATAATGCAGGTTTTCATTGAAAAGCCAAGAAATTATTCGTTTTACAGCAAAGTAAGGCCGAAAATAGCCTTTTCTCTCATTTACAAGATTCCGCTTTAGAAGACGATAAGTGAAAAAATTTTAAGAGTTCTAAGATGTTCTCTATACTTTATCATACATTCGCCAAAAAAAATGCTAGCAAACTGAACGTTCCATTTTTTTTCTTTTGTTGCAGTCTCGGTGTACCGGTACACCGTAGAGGAGCGAACAATGGGTATGAGAAGAACAGAAGCTAAGTAGCAGGCTGCAGGTACGGGAACAGAGAGAGAGAGAGAGGACGTAACAAAGAAAGAAAAATATAAGAAACAGAGGACGTCGCGAGGACGGAGAAGGAGACGGGCGAAGAAAAAGGAGAGAAGGAGGAAGGAAGAGTAACGAGAAGGAAAGAGGAAAAAAAGTTGAAGGAGAGGAAGAAGGAAGAAATTAGCGAAAACAAGCGCAAATATACATCGAAAATATGAGGACGAGTAGAACTTTCGATGCTACGTGGAGGCTAACGTGGTTCATCTGCCTCCTGGCTAGCAGTTTGGCGCAAACATTACCAATGTGTCCAGATCAACGCGAGATCTTACCCTGTTTTTGTACCATGAAAAAGGCTGGCTTGGATATCGTATGTGAACAAACCGAATTATCGCATATCTCGAAAGCCATGAATGCTATAAAAGGAAGGCCAAATACTGTCATTTTCTATTTGAGACTGAGGCACAATAATTTGCCGAAGCTCCAAGGTTACATGTTTCTTGGACTGGATATACGTCACCTAAGTATTCACAATAGCACTCTGGCTGCGGTTGAGGAATCCTCGTTGAACTCGATCGGTAAGTCAGTCAAGATCAATTGAGAGTACGATTGAAATTTCTTGTCTCGAGGTGAATTCTGTATCGTTGCTTTCTCATAAATTAAAATTATCACGCTTAATTCTGCCTTAATCCTTACTCGATCATATGTATCTCGAATTAGGCCAGAGGTTATAACAGAAATATATCTACTGGTGATGACTTAAAACGATGATGCGAACTTTATTCGAAATCCTATTGAGTATTAATATTTTTAATCATTGTTCCAGGAAACAAATTGACACAATTGGACTTCTCGCAGAATTATTTAGCAATCGTTCCATCGACTGCGTTAAGAAATCTCCATCATCTCCTTATTTTAAATCTGAATCACAATAAGATAAATGGCCTTCATGCCAAAGCTTTCGAAGGCCTCGATACGCTTGAAATTCTCACTCTCTACGAAAATGAGATATCCACGATAGAAGCGGACGCATTCAAAGGACTTGACAAGTACGATATTTCGATTTATTTATTATTACGTTTTATTCGAACGCGACAGTTTACGTTTTAATCATAATGCAAATTATGCCAACAGTCGAAAATTAAAACGTCTCAATCTGGGAGGGAATGAATTAACGAGCATACCAACATCTGCTCTCTCCACGTTGGATATGTTGAAGAAACTGGAGATGCAAGAGAATAGAATACAATCAATCAAGGAAGGAGATTTCGAAGGTAAGCTAATGGATTCGATTGATTTTTGATTAATCACTGTCTCATCCGTATCTACGATCGAATGCAATATTTTAACGTTATTCATATGATCCAGACAAAATTATATAACATAAATTATATAAAGTTTAATACAAATTGAACTGCTACGTTCTATTTCTTTTTTTTTTTTCAAAACAATATTACACCGTGAAATATAGTTGATTGAAATTAGTTACTTGCTTAAGGAAATGGCGCAGAAAAATAATAAATCCTTTAAATACCAATCAATCAGTTCTTTTTTTGTCTGGCGCTAAAGATATCGGTGTTATTTCAAAAGAAAAGATAACGATTTAAACGATATTGCTTCTAGGGGATAATCATTGTCGTGCTTTTGTAATGTCGATTTTCGAATTTTACACAGGATTGAAAAGTTTGGATTCGTTAGGATTGGCGCACAATCGTATTCGCACTGTACCGGCTCGTGCATTTTTCCATTTGGCGCAATTAAATTCTTTGGAGCTCGACGGAAATGAAATCATTCATGTCGATCCAGATGCATTTATCGGCCTTGAAGGTGAGTACAATCGAATTGCCTCTAAACATTTCCTTGGAAGATAAACTTACTTTCTCACCTCATCAGATTTTAATAAGAGCGTTCAATTTTCTTTAATGTTTGAGCATCGGAGTTTGACACGGTCTTTCCATTTTTGCGCAAATACCTAGTTTTTCCTTTTTCTTATCCTTTTCTTTTTTCCTAAAAGAAATTTATACTTCCAAAGCCGTGCTTGAATAAAAAAAAAAAGTGCATCCCACAAGCTTGAGTTCGCTTATACAAATCAGAAACTTACAAGACAAGTGTATATGAGTCAGGAGGCATGATGTATTGCGTGTGAGATCCTTTCACCGTCGCGTGGATATATGTCGAAACGTTTAATTACGATCATTATGCAAACCCCATTATGTTACGTACAAAACATGAGAGTTCGATTAACCCTAGCAGTTTAATCCTAGATTATATCAAAAGTTAATTTGCAATTTGGAGAACTGAAATGATTTATTTTCGTACGCGGACGAACGGGAACAAAAATGACATTGTCCTATTTTGTTTTTTATTTTAGAGAATCTACAATATTTACGGTTAGGAGATAACAATCTGCACGCGGTACCGAGCGATGCGCTGAGACGACTCCATCGTTTGCGTCATCTGGATTTAAGAGCCAACAATATAACCGTGCTCCCGGAGGACGCTTTCACCGGTTACGGAGACTCGATATCTTTTCTTAATCTTCAAAAAAATTTGTAATAACCATTCCTATTCTTCTTTGATTCTTATCTGTCGAGAGACCGAGAGATTTCGTATCGACATCGATATCAACACATTTTTGACATTTCAGAATCAAGGAACTACCACCATTGGTCTTTGAAAATTTGAATTCCTTGGAAACGCTCAACTTGCAGAACAATAAACTTAACCACATACCAGAGGAAGTAACAGAAACGATCGTCGATACGTTGCGACATATCGACATAACGGGTAATGAAATAATAAAAACTCGATAAATAATTCTTATTATAGGCGTAGAAAATGTTATTGACGTCATAATAAGATATTGATATGACATAATAATATATCGTCAAAATATTAAATTATAAAAGAAACTATCATTATGAGAGAAATTCGCAGACGTTACACTCATAAGATATGTAAGAAAAACAAACTAATACGATTAATTATGTACATTATCTCTTTTATTATTTCACATAGACAACCCATTGGTTTGCGATTGTGAGCTACGTTGGTATCCAGCTTGGCTTCAAAATCTTCGCGACAAGGACGACGAGATTATGTCGAAGAAACGTACGGTTTGTATGATGATATCCGAGCATCGAGAATACTCTGTGCAAAATATACCGTTAGAAAAAATGGGCTGCGTCAAGAGCATAGAGAGGGTGCCGTCGAACGGAATTTCCGTTTACCGAGGCGTCTGTTTCGCTTATTTCTTTGCATTCGTTTTCATCGGCTTGTAAACGTTTCATCTTTATTGTCGTCCCCATTGTCGTCATCATTATAATCTTTTTCTTCTTATATTTTATTGCTCATTTTATTTTTCTCTTCCTCGCGAGACAACGTCCTCGTCACGAGAAAATACGCGATCTCAACGAGAATTTTTTCAAATTGTGCCAGCAACACGCTTTCGTTAATTTATCTAGCGTGCTAATTATTCCTTGATTTAACATCTTTTTAATGATAAATTGAGATCTCGTTCCGATCGGACAGAGACATCGAATATGCTCTATAAAGGATAGTAATGTTTGACAAATTATATGAAACATAAGGCACCGCTAAAAAGTTTTTCGTTTTCTAAGAGTAATCATTATATGTTCGAACGAGGTATTCTCGAAGTAACTGCGACAATCGATAGTTCTACGACGACTAGAATATTTCTCTTAGTCGATTAGCTCTTCTGAGTACGTTTCTACGTTGCGGTATTTGACCAAGAAATAAAGTTTCGTTCACAGAAGAAAGAGGCTAAGAAGAGAGCGGCGTGAATTAGAATGCGAATCGTTCAATAATCTCATCGTCGTAGTGTTCATCATTTGATCGACATAAATGATCGAAGAATCGTTTCTCATATAATCGTTGTATTCGCAAGGAAAGGGAGGAAAGGAATTACGACGAAAGAGAAAAGAAAAATTCCGTCGATCTCACGGAAGCATGTCTCGTTTTCTACGGGCGCATGAGCTTTCATCACTGAAACGTTACATATCAATATCGTTGCCAAGCATTTTGTGAATATTCGTTAAGATCGCACAAGCGAGAGGAGATTAATGTAATTGTTGAAGAAGAAAAAAAAACAAAAAAGAAAGGTCCCTCTAAGAAAAATAAAGTAAAAAAGAATATAATTAATTAATAATACTAATACTAATAATAATTAATAATAATAGTAATAATAATAATAATAACAATAATAATAATAATAATAATAATAATAATAATAATAATAATAATAATAATAATAATGGTAACAACAACAACAACAACAACAACAACAACAACAACAACAACAACAACAACAACAACAACAACAACAACAATAATAATAATAACAGTCATTTACATAAACATATCAACGCTTTTCTGACGAAACAATCTCAATGATACTTGTGACATTTTAATTATTCGCACGTCATGAACTCTTTCACATTTGTTATAGAAATAATTTGAGTGTGAATACCGACGAAATCAATTTTTTACGAAAATGAATTCCAATATAATTTATCCAGCAATACGAAATTGTTGGAGTATAGCCGTCGATATTGTAATTAAATTACATTGAATTCTCTCAGGTCAAACCGCGCAAAGAACGGGCTATTACAATAGCTAACAATATCTTCAATCGATTCAGATCGTTAATTCTCTCGGCTATCTCGTGCAAAAGCCCATGTAGCCGTTGAAATGACATAACAACTGTTGATGACTCCTAATACACCGTACAGGAAGCCGACACTTGTCAAAGCCAGTAGAGTACAAACGCGGTTATTCAAAGATCTCGTTGCTCCTATTTCGTGACTTTACAAATCTAAATGCTGATACTGATGTGCGCACTAAAATTATTATTACCAATGACCATTATACCAACGTACGTATGCGCATACGGTGACTCTTCCCACTGATTTTGCTTTTCGTTGAAATCTTATTTCTAAAATTACTAATTATGTGTTTCCCATTCATCGACGTAATTATTATTTGTAAGGATTTGTATCCATGCGAGGCAACAGTGGGTATAATTATTACTAACTATTCGTATCGTCATCTATCATGATCGTTCTCTGTAATATCAACCTTCATATTCGATTATACGAAATTACAAGTTAAACATTACTAATAAAAAATAATTGTTAAAGTTAATGACGAACATTTCTTGTAACGAGATCTTGCTTCACGTAAAACATGTCATCGATATCGAAGAGATGTTCACGTAAAGGGTTACATTGCAAAAACACTAAGAAAGTAAAATATGTTTTACAATTTGATAGGAGTCTAATAAATAAATAAATAAATAAATAAATAAATTATACAAATATAATATATAGGTAAAAATTAATATACTGTAATTACTTTTTTTATATTATTATAATGTATTATTATTTTTTTATATTTCTTCACTTTATACCAAAGTGCCCAGTTTTTTACGGCATTTGTAATTATTATTTTTATTACTATTATTATTATTATTATTATTATTATTATTATCATTATTATTATTATTATTATTGTTATTGTTATTGTTATTATTGCATTTATTATTATATTATTATTATATAGAAGTATATATCGAAATTAGACTAGATATAACAATGTGATTTTGTCACCGGCGACTCTCTTTTATTTGATTCGATATTTTTAATAGAGGACAGTGAAAAAAATAGAAAGTTATGGTTTTATTTTTCTTGTTATACATAAATAATCATCAATCGTTATCTTTTCTTTCTTTCTTTCTTTTTTGTTTTTGTACCAATTCAGTGTTTAAAGCATACAACTTTTACATTTTCGAGAAGATACCTAAAAGTAAGAACATATAATATTGATATATAATTTATCGCTGAACAAAAGACAATAATTTCTGTAGAATTTTTCTTTTTCTCCATCGATTGAGGGTTAAAGGTGCACAGAAATATCACAACACACACACACATATCATTTATACGCCCAAAGTTTAGATCGTAAGATAATAATTAATCGAAGTTGAATTTAAAGACTTCGAAGCTTATGAACACTAAAGATCGTATACATATCGTGACTGTATGAGATTTCAAAGAATTTATTTGTTAATATATATAAATATATGTGCTATATACATACATATATTACCTTTAAAAATATATATATATATATATATATACATATATAGTATATACACATTTTGCATATGCATATTAGGTGTTTTTTTTTCAACGACGCATTAAGCAGAAAATACCAAGCCGTTGCACGCACTTTACCTAAGCCTCGATCTTCTTTCTCTTGTTTCTTTTTCAATAATTCCTTTTAAATTTTTCGTCTTTTTCGTCATATACAAAACCTATAATGTAAAATACCAAAGTTTTTCGTTTAGATTATCAGTCGATCTTTAATGATCAAAGTATTCTAAAATTTCATCCCAAATGGAAGAAAGAATTTTTATTGTATAATATAATAATTATAAACTCAAAATTGATACGCTGAATATGATGATTCTCTAAAGGCCCTATGTAATAACATTGAGAATCCGTATAAGGCATATCCGAAGATTTACAAAGACACATGAAACTCATGCAATTTACGTGTGGACGAAAGAGAATATTTCGGCGGATATCGTCTGCAACGTAAATCTGTCGTATTTATTAAAAACTATGGAGGAATTAGGTCGAATACATTCTTTTTAAGGTACGCAATATATCGTACCTAAGCCCTATGCTCGGCAGTTATGTGTAACGGCGAGGTAAAAAATAAGTAGCAACTAGGAGAATATAAAAGGATGCAAAAGAAAAATATTAGTGATATTAGTACAGTAGCACTCGTTACAAAGGGTCAGAAGTCTAGTCTGCGAATTTTAACTTTAAAATCATAGAAAGAATAAAAGTTTATGCGAAACTTCCATTAAGCTATTGATAATTCTTCATTTTTGTATCTTTCTTATTTTTAATGTTATTATTCATGGTTTGTAAACTTCTTTAAATATATTGTCCACTTGTAAGGATCATCATTCTTTAGGTGTATCGATTTAAGCAAGTGAAGCGTTTATCAACGTATAGACTCGAATCTTCATAATAATAAAAAAAATAAAAGCTAAAAAAGACGTTTCAATTGTCCCCTTGTCTACAATTGTTAGAAACGGAAAATAAATACATTCTAAAATAGATAAATATTAAAGCTTTAGTGATCGGCCATTACGACCTCGACATCTGACCCGGAAGTTACTGTAGGAAATGTACCTATTGTAGAATTTATTAATCATGTAGAGAGAAAAAAGAGATTAACAAAAAAGAAAAAAAAAAAAAAAAAAAGAATGAAAGGGAAAGACCCTCGTGTGCGTTTTAATCGGCGTAACGGTGGGAAAAACCCGAAAGAACCATGTCAAGACATATCTTTCAAACGTGCCGCCGTCATTCTCGTCGGGCGCGTCAATTAATATTATTATAAACTAATTATTATAAACGGTATTTTTGTACAGTGTCTTACAGCGAGTCGGACGACGCGGTCGGCGCGGTCGACGCACTCGACGAGATCGTCCGCATAACGTCCTTAAATTTTATCGCAATCCTAGCGCGTAATATTCCAAGAAAAGGAAAAAAAAAGAAAAATGGAAAAGATACATGGATAAAAACAAAAGCAAATTGTATAAGTAATGAAGAAAACAACGAGGATAGAGTCGAAGTAAGAAGAAAATTTCTTGGAAAGAATATTATACACAAAAAGAACATCCTCTTTTAACCATTTCACCAATTATTCGAATCTTTCGTGTATAAGTGAAGAATATACGGAACTTAATTTGCTACGAAAAAGTTGTTCGAGTAAAACTAGATTACAAACTATGTATGATTATTACATTCTATGCTCTTCTAAGATATTATTACTTCGCTTTTTTCACGTGTGCAAAAGAATCGAGAGAGAGAGAGAGAGAGAGAGAGAGAGAGAGAGAGAATCTTATATATGTACATTTTCTATATTAAGCATAACATATATGTATATTGTATACACAGAAAGACACCTACACAAGTATTACACAATATACATGCAACATTACAAGACAATGGATATCTCTTGTATCTACATCTTATGTGTTTTCTCTTTTATTAAAATATACACATAGCTATATTATATATATAATATAGCTATTATAGCTGTGAATTTAGTGAATATAAATTATATATAAGTAAGCATAAATAAAACGTATAAGGCTATGATTCACACAATCACACGAGCATGAGTTCGCGTGAGTGTATGGAAATGTATTATGAAACCTACACGCACGCATATACATACGTGTATTTTAATAGATAAAATAATAAATTCTTTATTCATAAATACACAGGAAAGAAACATATCTAAGAATGTCACAAATACACACAGACACACCTTTATGCCTAAAGAAACTATATCGATGTTACATATATGTATATATACATACATGTTTGTGTATATATATATATATATATATATATAAATGCATATATTATGTGTATATTATACAAAACCATACCCCATATATACGAAATTTCGTCTATATGTCTATACAAAAAAGTCCTATATATATATATATATATATATATATATACATTATTGAGGATAAATTGCTACGTGATATAGTATTTACAAAAGATTTTTTCTCCTCGTAAATATTCCCAAAATACCTATTTCAAATTCCAATCTACGTGTTATTGTTTATTATGTCGTTAACGATTAACTGTGTACATGTGTGAACTTTCAAATGAAATAAAAAGTATATAAGCCAGAATAATACGAACGTATAATCCTCTCTAATATGTTACTTTACTTTTATTTATACTTGCTTATAATTATAACTATTAATAATAATCCCTCCTTTAATGCTCGAAAATAAGTAAGAGGATCAGATTCTTAGATTGACTGTCTCTAAGAGATAAGAAAAATTAATTTTTCTTTGCAAGCTGTATTCTACCATCAATCTTTTATTCGTTAATTCGCGGAAACGTGGCATGCGTTAGTTTGCAACGATAAACATTCAATCTTTAAAGCTAGTGACGCCGTCAAATTACTCCGATCAATGGATGATCGACTCTTTATAATAAAAAGAGAACATAGATAACCTCGTCTAAAGGACGATTATATCACTGTTTATTAGTGAGATCTGCGCCTAACGAACGATTTCGAGCAATCGCTATATTAAATGTACAAGTGTGACGTCATCTAGATCACTGTTTATCAGGTTAGGTCAATAAAGTTTTTATTTTATATGTTAGTATGACCACGTGTTTATACTTGAAAATAACGCATGTCGTACGATATATATTCGATTCACCGAAATGAGAAATTCAGTGTTACAAGTGCAGTTATTTAAGTTAATAGTTAATAAAACTCGTAACAAATAAAGGAAGAAATTTATTAAAATGAAGAAGCTTCTTATTGTGGTCTGTGTATACTTTTTCGTGGTAAGAAAAGCAAATATTATATATATGTGTGTATATATATGTATATATATATATATATATATATATATATATATATATTTATATTTATTTATTTATTTATTATTTAATTATTTATATTTATCCCACTTGAATTATCTTATACGAATAAAGTATAATTAACGCAACCTTAACATAATTTCATTCGTAATAGTTTAAATCAATAGAATCGGAAACGACGGAATATATTGAAAATATGTCGAACGAAACTTCCAACGAGGACTTTTGCTTCAATATGAGTGGAATAGATCCTGGTATTTCTCTATAAAGATTCGAATATACTTAAACTTTAATATCATTTCAGAAGTTTTAAAGTAGGAACTGTTTTAGAACATTTGTTCTTCTTGAATCACATAGAAAGATTGGAAAAATCAGAAAGGGAGGAATTTAAATACAAAATTGGTTGTTACGCGTCATGTCTTTTTCAACAGTACAAAGTTGTATGTATTATCACATTAGTATAAATAATTAATTTTCAGAATATATTTCTAATCGATATATTTCTTCAGATGGATGGTCCCCACATTCAAATATCGGATATGATCGAGTTGTTCAAATCGGACTTAAAGTTCTACGGACCATACATACAAAAGGAAATTGACGAATTCCCCATTACTATAGAAATGTGTGCCAAACAAGGTAAGTGAAATATTATTTAACAATTATTAATAACAAAGATTAATTTTAAATCGATACTAATTTTGAACGTTTTAGTCGAAATAATAACCGACGCGTGTGAAGTGGGATGGAAATTTGTAAAATGTATGAAGCTAATATCAAATCGTGACAAATAATAAAAAAAATAAAATATACTAGTGGATTTACATAACTTCATATATTATAAAATAAAAATATATATAATAAAATATAATAAGTATAATTTAATCATATATAATAAAATATAATAAAAACTAATAAACTTTGCTGCATCACTGGCGTGTCTTTTTTTATCATATAAACTCATTGAGCTCTTTTATCATTATGAAATATATTTATATGGAAGCTCAAAAACAGTTTTATTTAACTACGTATACGTTTTTTTTTTACTATAATATATCGGCGTGACATCATTATAATCACTTTTTGTTTGTCTGATAGGGTTAGCTAAGATTTTATTCAGTATAAGCTTGTTTTTACGTAACATAAGATATAAATTCGAAGAAATGTAGTATTATATGTGGAATTTTTTAAATAATCAATTATTATATTTTCTCATAAATAAGTGACAAAATTTATTAAAATAAGGGGCTTCCTTTTCGCGTTTTTAACTTGTTTTACTATGGTGAGTAAAATAAGCAATTATTTAAATACTGTTTTACATTAATTATTCATTAACTTACGAGTATAATTTCACGTGTTAATAATATAATTAATAATTTCATAATTATCGAATGAAAACAGCCAATAGAGGATTATTTTTGTAAGAAGTACAACGCAATAGTTCTCCGGTGTGATTTACGAAGTCGATTTTATATCCGCGAATATCTTTCGAATGCGATGATGTGCTAACTTGCGAACGCGGCTTCGAAAAAATCGCGCGTTTAACTACCGGTTGATAAATTAGAAAAGGATATACGATAGAGAAAAAAATATGCTAATTACCTGTAATTATGCCGAGCGACGAAACACTGTGTCCAAGATGGCGATGAGAACACCAGCATGGAACGCGTAGTGGACTCCGTAGTTCAAGTACACCGCTAGTTAATTCAATTAATAATTATCTCAATTAAAAGTAATAAAAAATATAATAAAAGTATGTAAGTAATATGATACGAAAGACAAATGTAATTAATTCAAATTTCAAACATAGAGAATAATTTTCTAACGAAACATTTATACTTTCTAGAGATATAGAAACGTAAAATTTTAGACATAGACGATAACTTTCTAACGAAACATTTATACTTTCTAGAGATATAGAAACGTAAAATTTTAAACATAGACAATAACTTTCTAACGAAACATTTATACTTTCTAAAGATATAAAAACGTTAAATAGATATACACTTGTATTACGAGTGTATAGATGATCCTTTTGCTTTATATATTACGTCTGAAATAATGAGTAATTGTTAAATCGAAATAATTCGATGGATTTACGTATTTGTGTGTGTAAAAATAATCGTCGAATTTTTATTTATACATATCGAATAATTACGTCATTTATGATCGAAGTAATGTATCATGTGTCGATAATGATATATAATCGAGAATGTTCGACTATCGAAAAGAAAGGAACAAAGTAAAAACGATAAATATGTAATTATGTATAAGCGACAGGAAATAAAAATCGACCACGGAGGAAACTATGACAAATATTTTCGGACAGCATTAATCTATATAAATTTCAAGAACTGGACTGACCTATATAATTTCTTAAAAAATATCTGTTTTTGATGGGAAAAAAATGACGAAAAAAAAAAAAGGAAGAGAAAATATATTTTTTGAAAGAAAAAGTGTATCTTTGCACACACATCAGTGCACAAATGCAAAAAAACTGACTTATATTAAGTTGCTTTATTACGTACATTAATTACTTCGTAATAGCAATGAGGTATATAATATGTGTTTTATTATAGTCTTACTCAACCAATATCAAAGCAGATATTAAGAAAAGAACTACACATGGCTTTACGCTTGTCATGAGTTCCCTTTGTTACGACCTTCATTTCTTCTGCGAACACGTGACAATGAAACACATGGTCGTGTTAAGAGGAAAAAGAAAAACTGGACGCTCGCGTTGTTGCTACATGATAGGGATATGCGCTTCCATCATTCTCTAAGTTGTCCTCAGTACTAGATCATGTGAACAGTTTTTCTTAATATTTACCTCTCGAATTTTTGGCTATAATTACAGCTAACATAATTTTTCATTTACATTACATTCCTTGTTATCTAATAATATTCAGCTTAATCATTTATATTTTATTAATCGTATTTTCCGCTTTTATTTTTGCGATCTTTTAACCGGTTTCTTTACGAGGTTCTAATTAATAACTGTCCATTAATCAGTTTTCATTTTAGGTTATATTAGATTTTTACATATACTTAAATATTGGCGCAAAGTTTTTCGAAGATTATGCGGAGCGTAAGAATACGTAAGTGTCGCGGACGCGATTAAAAGTCCTACCAAGTACTGCGTTTTCATTGTTCGAAATTTGGACATCACGAACGGTGGATTACTTAATAATCCATTATGAAGCTGACAATTTCGGACCGGCAGAGCTATCCGTAAACGGGTTTTCATATATCTTCTGTTAGTTAATCACATTGTGTTAACCGAGCACGAGTAAACACGCGATTGCAGCGCCTTTGTTTCGCTTTATGGTCTTTCAGTCTGTGTAGATCCTTTAATGTTAACAAGAGTGATCTTTGGAAGGATCGTGAAGGAACGTGTCTACGTTCGATTGCCTTTCAAATATTATTTCTAGTGTAGTTTTCTTAATTTTTACGCTACTCGGAAAGCTGACAAATATTATATCGATATTAATACACTAGAAAATTAATTGTATGCACGCAGGAGTTATCGATATTTGTATCTATCCGTAAGAAAAATATCTTTATGTATATGAAAATCGTATAAACGACAAAATACAATCGAACACGATTAATTAACGAACAACGTTGTGATTAGAACGTTGTGATTTAAAAGACGAGAAAAGTCGCGAAAATAAAATTGAAAAATAAGTGTAGCTCCTGTCTTCACTGTAGTGAAGAAATAAGTGTAGCTCCACGAGAGATGCCGTAAGGCCGATATTATTATCGCGAATATCTTTTAAACAAGACGATGCAACGGCTTGCGAACATACACGCGTAGAAATTACATTTTGGGGAATCGATTGATATATAAAATAAAGATGTACGTTAAATAAGAATACACTAATAAATACCTGTAATTAACGAGACGACGAAGATCTGTTGCGACTGATACGACGGCATAATTCCAAATGGCGGAATCACCAATAGCGAGAAGACTGGACCTACGCGCAAGCGCAGTCAGTACGCCATCTGTATAATGAACTTCCCACCTCACGAAGCCATCGAATTTTTCGATTTATCATACGAAACAATAGAAACATTGAAAATATGATATAGGAATTTAAAAATTATCTAAACGGATATTATGTTAAGCCAAATTAAAAAATTTAATCATTAAAATTCAACAGATACGGAGATATAACTCAAAACTACTAATATCGATAAAAACGATCGATAAATTGACTTTGACAAATATCGAAACAGTTTTCATTTGCCTTCCGAAGGATAAAGATCGAAATTCTATCTTTCCATACGGTTAAACTTATATAAATCATTATTTTGACAATTTAAAAATTATTTGAAGAATTATAAACATACGCGGATTATAAATAACTAGAATTTAAACTAATAGAAAATTCATTTAAACATTATGTAGTTCAAAACAGAAATATTAAAAAAAAAATGTATATTTAAATAGAGTTATATTTTCAATATAATATTACATACTCTTATGACGCGTTAAACTTGAAATATTCTCCTTTCAGCGTGCGTTGATCGTTTAATGCCAACGAGAAGGACCATTGGAAGGACAATGCGAGTTTCTACGTCAGTCTGCTTTCGTACTCCAAGGAGTAAATGACGAAATATACTCTTTCCATACCGCTACATTTAATCGTATTACAAATACGACCATTCTTATAATTATTTAAACAATGCTCTCGGATAATGCTGAAGTAATAATTAAACAACATTACATTTCAATACAAGACTCGTATAGCTCTTAAGACGCGTTAAAAAGTATAAGTTACATTAAACCTTCGTATATCGATAATGACAACAAGAAGGACTTTTGGAAGGACAATGTGAGTTACCACATCAGTTTCTTTCCGTACATCAAGGAATAAACGTCGAAATGCACCCTCTCCGTACGACTATATTTAATCATCTTACGGATACGACTTTTAACTAATTATATAAACAGTGTACGATATAACCGTAATGCGATAAAACAATATAAAATATTACATATTAAAAAGACGGAAACGAGCCAGAAACTTAAAATAATTCTAATCTAAAATGTACTTCAAAATTTTATCTCGCGGTTGTTTGCCTTGTGCAGCATAAATATAAACAGTCCTTCGATTAAATTTTATAATTACCGAATTAGTTCTAGTCGCACTACGAACTCTGCACATCGTCTCTTTCCTTTTATACACGTGGAAACTTATAAATTAATAATTACGGTAACTTTATAATTATTTAAACAATCTGTAATGTACGCAGGAGAGGATAAAGTTATGTTAAATAATAGTACATTTATTTAAACATTAAAATGACTGCATCGCGCGAGGGAATTAAAATAATTTTAATATAACCTTCTATTACTTTAAAATTTTAATTTCGGAGTAGTTGCCTCGTGTAATATAAACATAAACGCACTTTTTCTCGACTTTGACAGTTCGCGAGTTAGTTTCCTCTTGTCCTCCGACCTGTGCACATCGCGATTCACTTTTCTAAACAATAAAGCTTATAAATAAATATAATCGGTAATTTTATAATCATTTAAACGATTTTTATTGCAAACAGGATAGAATAGAGTAATATTAAAACAATAGTTCATTTATTTAAACATTAAAAAGTCTGAATCGCGTGCGGGACTTAAAATAATTTTAATATAAATTTCTATTACTTAAAATTTTAATTTCGGAGTAGTTGCCTCGTGTAATATAAACATAAACGCACTTTTTCTCGACTTTGACAGTTCGCGAGTTAGTTTCCTCTTGTCCTCCGACCTGTGCACATCGCGATTCACTTTTCTAAACACTAAAGCTTATAAATAAATATAATCGGTAATTTTATAATTATTTAAACGATTTTTATTGCACGCGGTATAGAATAGAGTAATTTATAAGCAAAAGATCATTTATTTAAACATTAAAAAGTCTGAATCGCGTGCGGGTCTTAAAATAATTTTATTATAAATTTCTATTACTTTAGATTTTTAATTTCGGAGTAGTTGCCTCGTGTAATATAAACATAAACGCACTTTTTCTTGACTTTGACAGTTCGCGAGTTAGTTTCCTCTTGTCCTCCGACCTGTGCACATCGCGATTCATTTTTCTAAACAATAAAGCTTATAAATTAATATTTTCGGTAATTTTGTAATTATTAAAATGATTTTTATTGCAAGCAGGATAGAATAGAGTAATATTTAAACATTAGTTCATTTATTTAAACATTAAAAAGTCTGAATCGCGTGCGGGACTTAAAATAATTTTAATATAAATTTCTATTACTTAAAATTTTAATTTCGGAGTAGTTGCCTCGTGTAATATAAACATAAACGCACTTTTTCTTGACTTTGACAGTTCGCGAGTTAGTTTCCTCTTGTCCTCCGACCTGTGCACATCGCGATTCATTTTTCTAAACAATAAAGCTTATAAATTAATATTTTCGGTAATTTTGTAATTATTAAAATGATTTTTATTGCAAGCAGGATAGAATAGAGTAATATTTAAACATTAGTTCATTTATTTAAACATTAAAAAGTCTGAATCGCGTGCGGGACTTAAAATAATTTTAATATAAATTTCTATTACTTAAAATTTTAATTTCGGAGTAGTTGCCTCGTGTAATATAAACATAAACGCACTTTTTCTCGACTTTGACAGTTCGCGAGTTAGTTTCCTCTTGTCCTCCGACCTGTGCACATCGCGATTCATTTCTCTAAACAATAAAGCTTATAAATTAATATTTTCGGTAATTTTGTAATTATTAAAATGATTTTTATTGCAAGCAGGATAGAATAGAGTAATATTTAAACATTAGTTCATTTATTTAAACATTAAAAAGTCTGAATCGCGTGCGGGACTTAAAATAATTTTAATATAAATTTCTATTACTTTAGATTTTTAATTTCGGAGTAGTTGCCTCGTGTAATATAAACATAAACGCACTTTTTCTCGACTTTGACAGTTCGCGAGTTAGTTTCCTCTTGTCCTCCGACCTGTGCACATCGCGATTCATTTCTCTAAACAATAAAGCTTATAAATTAATATTTTCGGTAATTTTGTAATTATTAAAATGATTTTTATTGCAAGCAGGATAGAATAGAGTAATATTTAAACATTAGTTCATTTATTTAAACATTAAAAAGTCTGAATCGCGTGCGGGACTTAAAATAATTTTAATATAAATTTCTATTACTTTAGATTTTTAATTTCGGAGTAGTTGCCTCGTGTAATATAAACATAAACGCACTTTTTCTTGACTTTGACAGTTCGCGAGTTAGTTTCCTCTTGTCCTCCGACCTGTGCACATCGCGATTCATTTTTCTAAACAATAAAGCTTATAAATTAATATTTTCGGTAATTTTGTAATTATTAAAATGATTTTTATTGCAAGCAGGATAGAATAGAGTAATATTTAAACATTAGTTCATTTATTTAAACATTAAAAAGTCTGAATCGCGTGCGGGACTTAAAATAATTTTAATATAAATTTCTATTACTTAAAATTTTAATTTCGGAGTAGTTGCCTCGTGTAATATAAACATAAACGCACTTTTTCTCGACTTTGACAGTTCGCGAGTTAGTTTCCTCTTGTCCTCCGACCTGTGCACATCGCGATTCACTTTTCTAAACAATAAAGCTTATAAATAAATATAATCGGTAATTTTATAATCATTTAAACGATTTTTATTGCAAACAGGATAGAATAGAGTAATATTAAAACAATAGTTCATTTATTTAAACATTAAAAAGTCTGAATCGCGTGCGGGACTTAAAATAATTTTAATATAAATTTCTATTACTTAAAATTTTAATTTCGGAGTAGTTGCCTCGTGTAATATAAACATAAACGCACTTTTTCTCGACTTTGACAGTTCGCGAGTTAGTTTCCTCTTGTCCTCCGACCTGTGCACATCGCGATTCACTTTTCTAAACACTAAAGCTTATAAATAAATATAATCGGTAATTTTATAATTATTTAAACGATTTTTATTGCACGCGGTATAGAATAGAGTAATTTATAAGCAATAGATCATTTATTTAAACATTAAAAAGTCTGAATCGCGTGCGGGACTTAAAATAATTTTAATATAAATTTCTATTACTTAAAATTTTAATTTCGGTGTAGTTGCCTCGTGTAATATAAACATAAACGCACTTTTTCTTGACTTTGACAGTTCGCGAGTTAGTTTCCTCTTGTCCTCCGACCTGTGCACATCGCGATTCACTTTTCTAAACAATAAAGCTTATAAATAAATATAATCGGTAATTTTATAATCATTTAAACGATTTTTATTGCAAACAGGATAGAATAGAGTAATATTAAAACAATAGTTCATTTATTTAAACATTAAAAAGTCTGAATCGCGTGCGGGACTTAAAATAATTTTAATATAAATTTCTATTACTTTAGATTTTTAATTTCGGAGTAGTTGCCTCGTGTAATATAAACATAAACGCACTTTTTCTTGACTTTGACAGTTCGCGAGTTAGTTTCCTCTTGTCCTCCGACCTGTGCACATCGCGATTCATTTTTCTAAACAATAAAGCTTATAAATTAATATTTTCGGTAATTTTGTAATTATTAAAATGATTTTTATTGCAAGCAGGATAGAATAGAGTAATATTTAAACATTAGTTCATTTATTTAAACATTAAAAAGACTGAATCGCGTGCGGGACTTAAAATAATTTTAATATAAATTTCTATTACTTTAAATTTTTAATTTCGGAGTAGTTGCCTCGTGTAATATAAACATAAACGCACTTTTTCTCGACTTTGACAGTTCGCGAGTTAGTTTCCTCTTGTCCTCCGACCTGTGCACATCGCGATTCACTTTTCTAAACACTAAAGCTTATAAATAAATATAATCGGTAATTTTATAATTATTTAAACGATTTTTATTGCACGCGGTATAGAATAGAGTAATTTATAAGCAAAAGATCATTTATTTAAACATTAAAAAGTCTGAATCGCGTGCGGGTCTTAAAATAATTTTATTATAAATTTCTATTACTTTAGATTTTTAATTTCGGAGTAGTTGCCTCGTGTAATATAAACATAAACGCACTTTTTCTTGACTTTGACAGTTCGCGAGTTAGTTTCCTCTTGTCCTCCGACCTGTGCACATCGCGATTCATTTTTCTAAACAATAAAGCTTATAAATTAATATTTTCGGTAATTTTGTAATTATTAAAATGATTTTTATTGCAAGCAGGATAGAATAGAGTAATATTTAAACATTAGTTCATTTATTTAAACATTAAAAAGTCTGAATCGCGTGCGGGACTTAAAATAATTTTAATATAAATTTCTATTACTTAAAATTTTAATTTCGGAGTAGTTGCCTCGTGTAATATAAACATAAGCGCACTTTTTCTCGACTTTGACAGTTCGCGAGTTAGTTTCCTCTTGTCCTCCGACCTGTGCACATCGTGATTCACTTTTCTAAACAATAAAGCTTATAAATTAATATTTTCGGTAATTTTGTAATTATTAAAATGATTTTTATTGCACGCTGGATAGAATATAGTAATATTTAAACAATAGTATATTTATTTAAACATTAAAAATTCTAAATCGCGATTACCGAATCATTTCTCTTTTTTCTTTTGACGAGTAAACATCTCAAGTGTCTCAGGATGTCTTCG